TCTGGTTGTCTAAACCGAGGTAGGGTGTTAACTTAGGTGACACTATCCCGAGCCTTTGGCTGAATGGCCTGCCCACAAAGCAGCGGAGCGAAACCAGGGAATCGCGCCCTTTGGGAGCCGGTGGCTGATTACTCAGTTCATACGTCATTCGTTTGTCCGTTTACCAAACATGATCCCAATGCTCCCCACAACTTCGGCATTAAATTGCTGGAATACAATGCTTCGCCAGTATATACAGCAAGGGGGCAGTGATGAGTCACATCCGCCACGCACCGTGTTGTTAAACGGACATATGTGGCTTTTTATAGGGAGAACACTTACGAGGCGAAAACCCGCCACGTCGGCGGAGCGTTTAAATTGGCCGTTGTCAATCTCCCCCAGATCATCGTTTTTTGCGCTATCTACTGCAAACGTATCAGATTTATTTGACTCTTCTGACAAGTTCTTTGGCTGGACAATTTCAAGGTCAATAAGGTCGCTGAACTCCAACGATACTTTGAAAAGTATCCGAGACGCCGCGCAAAACTCGCGATTTGCTGCTTTTATCCAGTTGAAACGAGCTATCAATAAACGTTTTAACAAATGTTGGCCTCGTCAACTGGAAGAAGAATGTTATAATTTTTTTAATCAATGTGCGGTCGTTGCTCAAAGATTCGGGACTCTTTACTTAAGTGACATCTGTGCACTCTTTACCCAGTCTGTTTTTAAAATTGTAAACTTCTCATCTTTACTGATGTTGTTTATGTCACATTTGTGGTAGATAGTGTAGAATGCTGAAAATGTATCCACCTGAGTGCATAAAGCTTTTTTGACTTAACTGACTTCACTTGTCCTGGAACACTGCCACCGAAATCCGCGCATCGACGTTCGTCAGACTAGCCAAGTTAAGATCGTTCGTCATCCACTCGAGAGTTGCAGCCCGTCCATCTTGTCGACCTAGCTGTCAGTTTTGACGAATTCCACTGCTTTGGTGATCAACCGCTGGGGCGTTGCTCACATACCCATCCTGTTGATCTCTGCATTATCCATTTTGAGCTAGTGGCCTGTGCCTAATTGATACACCAACACGACGGAGTGTTTTTCTAGTGTCGGGTATTCCAACTCGTTCGTCGGTGGTCGGGAAATGTACCTTTTCTATTCCGAAATTAATATGCATAGCTCTCTGGCGGGTTGGCCTATGTATACATGCGCACAGTCTACTTTTAATTTTATAGACCCAGTTAGTTGTCCTATCCTTGGGAAGAGGCTCCTTCGAGTGCACCATCGTTAAACGTAGCGGTGGGTTTCGCTGGAAGATCACCCTTACGTTCTCCCTTTTTGGTACTCTCCGAATTGCCTCCGAAGTTCCTTCGTTGTGCGGAATTCCTATCGTCCCCATCCACTCCGTCGTGTGTCTTGATTGTAGGTTCAGTATTTTATGTAACTGCTGGAGTGACCGTCGTGGGTAACTACCATCTAATACTATATCCATTGCCTCCTCCCGCGCGGCCATTTTATCCTTCTACGTGTTTCGGACTACCCGAAATGTAATGGAGGATATATGGTCGTCTTTAAATGGTCCCCATTTCTGTGACACAAGCAGTCAACTAATGGCACTGTACTTCTACGGGATTCCAAATCAACATTAAAGTTTAACTGCTCACGCAACTCATCCTTCTTATCCGAAATTAACGATTACAATGATGTCATCTACGTTGCGCCATCAGACTTTCGATGGACTCGTGGTGTTTAGTAACACCCTGTTCTCGAAGACTTCTATGTACAACTTCGCCAGTAAAGGAGATATTGGCAATCCTTTGGCGAGACTTCGTTCCTGATTGTACAGCTTCGATTAAAAAACGAATTATATGCCATCGGTTATTTGGTCATCTCCAAGTTTCCTCCAATCACCAAGGGTGTTTTTTTCATTCAAACACCGTTTTACTGTTCCTAGAAGCTCCTTTGTTTTCTGATTCACTTGGCCCGGCGAAGATGTGTCAGAAGCGAAAAATTTCCCAACGCATACACCAACCAAATGTTTCTAAACCTCTGAATCCATGGCTCAATGATTTTGTTTTGTTGCGAGTCACATCTGCCTAGGTTCCGTTTATTACGTGGACATACGCGGCTTTCTATAGGGGCGAACGCTTGCCAGGTGAAAACCCATCACGTCCTCGAACACTGTCGCCGAACCATTTATAGGAGCGGGCTAACTTAAAACCACCCAGCTGGCACCAAAAGGAGGTACTTTGACCCCAGAAATACGCAAACATCACTAGAGTTCTTTACGCGCGTGTTTCGGGCAAACTGAGTGCTTATAGTAGACTGTTGTCGCTTCTCATTATTCGTATCAGTGTGAAAGAATGGTTTGGCTGTCTCTTTTTAACTTCACCATTGACGAAATATTGAGAACTGCGTTCACTGGACAATATTTGGAAGTTGCGGATCTGCTCCTAGGTGCTAAACTTATCGACTTGTACTATACAGACGATATTGTTTTGAAAAGCGACACAATGTAAATCTGTCAAGCAATTTTGGACAGACTAGTACTAGGCGCTAATCGTCTTGAGCTGGTTTTGCTTTGTTAACATGCAAAGCTTTCTCCCAGAACTCGCGGGGATGGCTCCTAGAGTTGAGTTTTGGTGATGATCCACCAAAAAAGTGTTTCAATTCGACTCCCTAGGTGACCATAGCAGTGCCTATGGGATAGAGATCAAGATCACAAATCATGGAGCAAAACCTTTAGGTGGTTTTGCTAACCTTCGCCACTTCAGTAGAGTCAACTATGCAGCTGCTCGTCCAACCCTGCCATGTGATTGTGAATTCTGGCCAATCAGATCGACAGAAATCAAGACGCCTACTGCTTTCGGCTTCCTGTATCCGTAATTTTGTTCCTGAGCGACGACCGTGTTCGCTGTCTTGTTGTAGGCGCGCCAACAGCAATAGAACCTCAGCACTGTTGTTTTACGCACCTTGTTCCGATGGCTGGGGTGTGTTACGCATACCAATACATCAATTCCTGTAAAACACGCAGTTTGTTCGGTTAGTGGGCATGGAAAAAGTGTATTGGAGACCAACGATTTCATTTATCAGGAAGAATGAAAGCTCACACTCCGAATTTGGCATCGGTTGATATCTCCAGACTCCTGGGCTGGGGTGCCGTCCGAAAGACGATGAAAACCTTAGGCTTTGGGATGCTTGTTGGTAAGTCAAAGAGCCAACCTCAATGGCGCTTTTGTCGTGACTTTCTATCTCCCTCCCCCTCTCGCTTAGGCTCCTTCAATTGCGACTTTATCCTGTATGTGTAATAAGTGGCGGTTGTAGCATTGCCTACATTTGTAGCTGTTTATTTTTTAATAAGCATATTTAGTGGTGGTGCGATGCATGAAGTGTTCCTTATATGTAGCTGACACGTCAAATGTGTGTTTCTGCGGCACACTGTGATCCAGTCTCGTCACGTTGCGTAGGGGCTGAGTTGCAGCCTAAATTTGTTGTCATGATTGACTTTACTCCAGATCGCTTTCTTTTTTTATTTCATTCTGGAAGTGAATTCTGATCTCTTTATTCCTTTCCGAGTCTGTTACTTTCGCTTCATCTAACCTCTACTTTCAGTCATCGCTACGCCGTTTGATACAACTGAACCGCTTTTGTTACACACTTCATTGAATAGACGATTCCACTCACACTGATGTCGGTTTTTCTATTTTCTTATTGTTGGCTACTAAGCGAATTGTACTCAGAATTATCAGTTGGCATCATTTTATGGCGCTACATATCTGTGATGTTGTTTTTTCATCTCTTGTTCGTGCTGTGGCATCAACACTCATTGCGCTTCTTCATTTAATGCCATATTACTTGCTTACATGTTTAACTGCTCAGAAATAAAACTGTAAACCAGATTTCGTTTGTCGTCAATTACCATCAGTCCTAGTTTGTTTGTCCTCCAACACGTTGTAAGGAGTGGTACCGTAGTCTACGAAGTCTTGACTCTGTGAAATTGATTTCGCTGACTTAGGTGATACATACTAGCTCGATTCGCGGTCAGCTCGCATGTGGGCATTGGCGAATAGTGTTAATCATCCTGGCGATGGAAACAAGCAATCTGAGTGAGAATAGTTGTGTTTTTCCGGCACATTCTTATCTCGGAGCCGAAAACGGTCCCATCGATTAAAACGTTTTAATATACCGGAGTGTGGTGATTATTTTCTCGACTTTAGTAAATCATGTATGAACCGAGCATTACTAAGGGCACTTTCATTTATTTATCATTTTCCCTAGATTATGAAATTTACACTAATCAGCACTAGTCGGTCTCGGCTACAATGCTTACACCTCCTTTGCTAGCATCCACTTGTGTTGAACACCGGAGCTTGGATCTTCCTCTGCAACGGGGTCATTTTTGACCGTTGCTTATTGACTATTTTCTCTTCGGGCACAGTGTACTATAAATAATTATTGCGATGCTAATCTTCATATAGTTGCTTGCTGACTGCAGGGACATATTGGCTTCTTAGGTTGTCAGTATTGATCGATCCGTTATAGTTATATAGTTAGCTCCTCTCACTAGATTTGTTCTTATCCGACACTATTTTTCTGGTATATTAAATGAATTACCCGCTGTTCTGGATCCCATCTAATGTTACCTTCCTTATTCCCCAACAATGGTTTACTGAAATCCCCCTTGAGCTCCCCATTACCAGCAAGTTTCTCGTGATTGCTTTGGTGCATTCATTCGTCTAGCTCGTTTGTACTTCTCTCATCCGACGCCTTACCCTGTGCTTGGCTCGAGCTTCAGCAGCATTACTGAAGCGGTCATTAGAATGAAGGCAATGACTGCGTAAGCCTGTCTCTTTAGTATACAGACCGCCTTTCGATCTTTCCGCCTTTGTCCGACTTAAGGGAACTGGATACGCTCAATACTCGTTGACAGTACCACTTTTTATGGTGTTCAGTAGTTTCAGCATCACTCACTGTTTTCACCATCTTCATTTGTACTTGACCCTTTCTGTGCTTAACTTCAGGGCGACATGATTGATCAGATCGAATACAACGTAAACAAAGCCGGTAATTGTGCTGTGCAAGCCAAAAAGAAACTCTCCAATGCAGTTGGTCGGAAGAAGAAGCATCGTCGTGTGAGTGGTCGTCTTGCTCACTCCAACATCCGGTATCTGATTACGAACGATTTGTTCAAACTTTGCTTTTTTACGCATTATCCTGTTTGCTTCGGCCATCCGTGCACTATAATATTGACACTGTTGCACACATGCTTTTTATGTTTTTATTCCCAAGTCAGGCGCCACACACCGATTGTATCGTGCTGTGCATACTTCGTTCCTGTTATCAACCATCGACAACCAACCATTAGATTTCTCCTCCAACTGCTGTTGTATGAGGATGTACGAACTTCCCTAGGATGTTTATGGCTATCTTGACATCGCATTCTATCTCCTGCCGGACTGTTGATTATGAAATCAAATCATCACGGTGACGCGAAAATTTATCAGTCAGATATTAATGCGTGGTGTTCCACCTCCCTGCGCCCCTTGGGTTGCACGCGATTCCGATCAGAAACGGCTCAGCGAATTGTGGGCTGTTTACCATTTGCCTTTCTTTACCACACTGATCGTTGGCACGTGCAACAGTGTTAGCGGTCCTCATTTGGCCAACTTTCAGGTGCCGACATTGCTTTGTGTGCAGTCAGTTTCATCGACTGCGCAAATACGCTAACAACATGATGCACTGCAAGGCTTGTGCTACTTCCGTAGACTTATTTGTCTTAATAGCTGAACTTTGACTAAGTCATCCAGAAACATCAATCAGACCGAAATGTCGTTGGCCTTCCCCTCCTGCTCCGTCGTTGATGTTGCATGCCCATCCATTGACTTTTGTCTGAACTGATGTTGTCGCTTTGCTTGAAAGTGACTCAAATTTAGTTCCTTATATTTACTTCTCTTCTGCTCAGGGAATGTTCTACGCCTCATTGAAATTGACTTGATCTTTTCTCTTCCCATCCTCTATAACGAGACTGGACCTTAGCGGGGTGTGGTGGTTTGCGTACTCCCGTGACCCATTGAGCTATGCTGTGACGCTCTCCAAGTGTCTTCAGAGCCACTCATATCAGACAGATCAATGATTTGGGTCAGACTAACTCAGTCACACAATACAATCCTCTTCGTACCTTAGGGAGAGTTCGATGACCCTCTTCCCTTAAAACCTAGCTATAGGAGACAGCCGGTCTACAGGTAATAAACTCAGCTCGATTGGCATAGAGCATGAGCGCCACGCATTGTCTCTGACGGTTGGAGGGCCCCTTCATCCACACACACGCGTGACATGCGTGCTCCTGGTCCATTTGGATTATTTCTCTATATCCTCTCTCCATCTTCTCGCAGCGTCGTCACTGTACGCTCATTCAAACCGGATTTACCAGCTTTCCATAATGATCCATCATACGTGGAACTATCTACGATTAAAGTCCGTGCCATCACTAACCGTTTTTACTGGCATCCGTGATTAAGTGCAAGCGCATAACTCAATCACCTTGAGCGGATTGCCTTTCTGTGTGACATCATTCGATATAGAAATCTCGAGGCAGTCCGAAAAGCCTAAGATTATTCCGATCCGGCGTTTTTCAACGCAGCTGTGAAAGAATTTGTCATCTCTCAATCAGTGTTCAGGTTCAGTTAGCAGGTTCCAGTCACTCGCCATTCCTTGTGACCTTGTCAACCAGTGCGCCTGCATAACCCATCACACGGATCGCGCGACCGCGCCGACCGCTCATTTGATCTTGCAACCACCACGCTCGCCTGACCGATGTGCGCCGCTCTCAAAGCTAGAAAAGTACAGAACGCTAACCAACCCATTGGGTCAGGTAACGACACCAAATTGAATGGCAGAAAGGCGAAACCGAAGAGACTCCCATCGAAAGGCATTTGCGGGTTAGGAGAATGTCATCGAGCAGTAAAAATCGGTCTGGCTTGTTCGCACTGTTTGGAATGGTATCATACGAAATGTGCAAATGTGTCCCAACAACAGGTTCGGGAGCGAAATAGCTCCCAAAATGCATTTTGGTTCTGTACTGCGTGTTCCACCATCCCCCTCGTTAAGTGCTTACTTATCCTAGCTCAGAAATGCGACCGGTTAACCGCAGAAGCAGAGCAGAGGATAAACGATAAGATTACTTCAATGAAAGCGAGTATGCACCACAGAAGCCTAGCGGCTTCTAAGCAACGGAATGCTGAACAATTCGCTTCCCCTGAACCGCAATCAGCCATGTCTCCATCTCTATTGTCTTCTCCAACTTTGGTAGAACGCCGGGCGAAAACAGACTGTACCTACAAGAGTCAAACAGTACTCATTGCAGCGAAAATCAGACTCCACTCAATACGTCTGGTTAAGCAAATTCCACTAGACCTGACATCTAGCATTAACAGGGATGAAGAAACTGAACACCAACCCTCGGTACCTGTAGCTCAAATATCTCCTGTCGAGACAGCCTCCCAGAACATCAGTTACCTATGTAGAGACTGCTGCAAAGGTCCACTGAGAGGCTGCCGTTGCGGCCTCTACCACAGTAAACACCGTTAACGCGAACAGAGGGACAAACAGCAAATGATCAACACTTGTCGGCAGGTCAGGACAAGCGAGTATTCTACCTTGTAGATCAACGAAAAAGGGACCCAACAACAGTGCCCGGACTGTTGTATGCTCAAATGTCCCTGAATCTACCGCCATCACATTGCAGGATAAGTTATTAGATGACCAAGACCAATGGAACTCATTGTGCATGTAGATGAGTATCAAAGCCAAACCCACACAATTATTACGAATTACTCGTCATCCGAACTCGCCACACTATGGTGAACCCAGACTTATTCGAGTAACACTAGAATCCTCTGTCCACCTTTTGCTCTCCGCAAGCGCGCTAAAACACGGATCCTGTGGGATACGCGTCTATCCAGATGTCCCCTGGAGCGCGCGGTATTCAAAAGAAACACCGATGAGGGACACAGAAAGCAAGACCGCCTAAACACAATCTTCATACATGGCGTGCCACTACATCCTACCAACTATGTTCAAGAGACCGGAAAGCACGAGTTAGAACAGTGGCGGTTCATTCGTGAAACACTTTCTTTGGATAATATTGTGGCGCTATCGCTCACCAGGATACATCTCTCGCTAAAGTGTAGATGATGCGGCCCTAGCATCATAAAACTTGTGGTTCAGTTAGAGCAACAAGAAACGGATGTTTTGGATCAATGTCGGTGAAGTCGGAAAAGTCTTCCTTCTGAACCTCGGTTAAAGGTTGCAGAAGCTTTGCACAGTTCAAATAATAAAGCACCTGAAGCAGCAAGCGTGCCGACGAATATACAGAAGCGTAACGACTGCTGCTTTAATTGACTGACGTAGGTCTAAACGAAGATTGGGAGTCACCGTGGCTGAATCAAGTTTCAGACGAGGTATCATTGTCCCATCAAAAAACGAGTAACTGCCGACCTTCCATTGGTCGGCATTCTCCCACACTTGATCCCTTTAGCCCTCTATGGTTTCCTAGAGACCGAGAAACTGGCCTGCTTGTATACGAATGATCAGGGTCTTTTTACTAAACTGGCCAAACTGAATGATCGCCAAGCTTCCGGGTCATATGATGTTATAGGTATCACAGAGACTTGGTTGCACACGGGAATGACGGACGCTGAAGTTTCGCTACCGAGCATGTCACTGATCCGGAATGATAGCCTTACAAAAGGAGGAGGGGTAATCCTGTATTACCGAAGCGACTTACAGTGCGAAACCGTGGCAGATTCAGACTCTCAGTTCTCCGACTCTTTGGTGCCACTTGCAGTTAAAAGGCAGGGAGGCTTGCCTTATTGTCTTGGTGTACCACCCCCTAACTCTACATCCGAAACCGACTGCCACCTAGCGGCTGCTTTAAGATGCAGTTTACAGCTAAAGAACACTCACATACTTAACACGGACGATTTCATTGTGTAGAAACTCTTGCCACGATCAAAGAACAATACAAATCCGATTTACAAGGTCTCGTAGTGTTCCTCTACAATCACATCACTTCGCCCACTCGGTTCAGAACAGGCAACTGGCCATCTGTGCTGGATCTTGTGCTTACCAACGAGGAGCATATGATTGATGTGCTTGTCTTAGACTTCCCGGTGTGTCGCAATGATCACGCAGTCATCAGTTTCAACTTCGTCTGCTATGCGGATTATCGGAATGAGAACGACGAGACTGTGCGATCCATCACAAGCTGCAATCGATTAGCCCAGCTCGTCAGCGCTACAACTTGGTTCTTCCTTTCCGAAGAACCCCCGGAAGTCGCCTAGCTTGAGTTCGTCAACAAATTTAGTCAGCTGATTGCAGTAGTTTCAGAAATAAGAGTTTGCGATAAGTGTACATTAGTTTCTTTCGTTAGGAGCAGAACTCGAGAATGGATAAAAGTAAGCTACGCAGCATGGCGAGTGTACAGAGAAGCTCTAATACAAGAAACTTAGTACAACAACGTAGCCCAACGTAACCACTGCACTCAACTGCTAAGAGAAGACAAAGCTGCCTATCAGCAGAACATCGCAAAAACTTCAGTGCTAACCACGAACTGCTGTACAAGCACGTCAATAACCTACGAAAGGTGAGGCAAGGATTTTCTCCACTAAGGACGGCTGATGGACTAACAAGAACGGTTGTGGAAGCAGCAAATGCGCTGCGGATGCAATATGCCCCCACGTTTCAGAGGGTCTTGCCACCAAGCGATCTTCTAACCTTCGTCGTCTCCTCGCCAAGACTAACCCACATTACTTTTACCGCGGAGGCTGTATTGCAAGTGCTGAAGTTTCTACACAAATACAGCTCGCCGGCTGTCGACACCACTCATTCAGAGGCACTGGAAGCAGCAGCAAGTCAACTGGCAAGACATTTAGCTCAGTTTTTACAGCGCTGCTTAGACCAAAATCAAGTTCCCGCCATGTGGAAGCTTGGAATAATAACCCCGATTCACAAAGGTGGAAGCAGAACTGATCCCTCCAACTACCGCCCAGTATCCCTTCTTCCTATACTATCCAAAGTCATGGAATGCATATTTGCCGATGCACTGCTGTTCTATCTGGAAAACAGTAACTTC